CAGGTATAAAAACTATGAGCATTTACCTAATTGAAGCTGAGCATTCTTTTTCTACACAAAATACATTCGTATACTTCCATCTCCTGCCTCGAGTAGTTGATGCATTCCTTGATATCCAGATTGACTTCCAGCCACATTGCCACAAAATACATCAAAATCAACACGATAATAATCCTCATAATCCTGCCCAAGAAATGTAGTAGAGCGACAAAGCGTCTTACCAGGGCTAGGTCCATCGCAAATACTGCACGATCTCGAACTGACTTTGGGTTCTAGATTTGATGTTAGTGTAAGGGGTTTCTTGGAATAGTGGCGAGTTTCGGTAGTGAACGTGTAGAAATTGCCAATGTAGAAAGGAAGTGTTTGTTTGAGCCTGAGTTGACAGTTCTGCAGGTGTGAGGCCGGTTGATAAGTTGATAAGGCGGTCTAGATGTAAAGTAAGCTATACGCAACGATACACAACACTCAGTGTGTTGTACAGTAGGCCTACATAGTCGGCTATTCGCGGTAAATACAACACCGTGTTATTGTACTGTGTAATGCACCGGATACTGTCATTGAATTTAATTTATTAATAATAAAATATTAAAAATGTGAAATTTAAAACATTGTTTTAAATATACTGAATAACTTTTACCACTAAGAACTACGTCGGTCTAGCAACACACTTTTTTTCCTATAGGTCAAAATAATCTTCAATCATATAAAACCATAAAGCATATCGTATTAAAAAATATACTTGATGCACCCATTTTTCTTACATAATATTTAGATGGAAAATATCAAAGCACAAAAATGAATTACCAAAAAATGATGATTATTTTCAGTTGAATTAAAATTTAAAGTACATAGCTAAAATAAATAATTAAAATTATTTTTAATATTTACTTATTACAGCAGAGAAAAAAGTTCAGTATTTCGCTTTTAGTAGTGTAAAAAAATAAATTGATTCCATGGCAGGTAAAATACTTTACATTATGTAGGAATTAATTACTTTGTTGGGCCAAGTAACAGTCGTAAAGACACTTGAAACTAACTATAATTGTGTAGAACTATAATTTACCGAGTAATGTGTCCTCGAGGTTGCTCCTAAGTAAAAAACAACACACATCTGGAAATGTCTGCATCTAAGGCCAAATCATTTTTTCTTAACACACCTAACTTTACAACATGCGCTAAATTACTTTAAGCTTACTCTCGTCAATAAAGAAATTAAGAACTGTTATTTGAGAAATAAAGAAAAGGGTGTTAAATGTGGCTTATTGTTGTAGGGCGGGATAAGCTTGAATGAGTTGGCGAAAAAGCGAGATCGGACCGTACGAAAGGGGTATTAATTTATTTATAAATCTTCAATTTTTTGTTCAAACTTTTAACCTTTAAATATGGAAATTTCCATTACAGACTCGGTTAGAGTTTAAAAAACAAATAATTGTGTACATTAAATCGTTCTAGTAAAATTAAAGGTTGCAGAGGAAATTCCTAAAACCTGTACGTTTCAAATCCCCACGTTATTCATATGGAGAAAAAGAAAACTATTGTAGTTCATTTATTTGTGTGAAAATGTTATTAGCTATTAGTTATTCAAATCGCACGAGTTTCAAGCAAACGCAAGGTAATTAACCAACTTGAACATTGTTTTTCATCAGTGTTTTCTATGATTTAAAATCAATAACTCCAGTATTGTTCATGTTTTTTTATATTTTTTTTACTCAAAATAAGCAGTAAATTAGAGGCTTTATTTTGAGCTATTGATCGTTTGAATCAGTCAAGCTCAAGGTACTGTAATACTCAATTAAAAATCATAAATTTGATTATTTCTCGGATATTTTATTTATTTTAACGCTGCAGAGCAGCATATGTCCTCTAGTTCATATTTCAAATGAATTGAAGAATTTTATTAGCTGTTTCAACTGTACAATATGGTACAAACATTTCTCAGCATCAAACTGGCAACCTTTAGTAACGTTTACAATGGTAATTAGACAGATAAATACGATTCCACTGGAGTTGGTTAAGAATTATTATACATCAAGAACTCCCCAAGTATATTAAAAGTGTATGGAACAAACCTATGCATATCACTATCTCTGAAAATAATTGTACTAGCTCTTTTAAAAGTAAATTGCCAAAGTGATGTTTATAAAATCGAGTACAACTATTTAAATAATTTACAGCCGAGTTCATCTCTTATTCAAATAACATATTGGATTAACTACGGCCAAAGACCGATGAACTGTTCTCTGTATGATAGTAATAATAGTTTCCATTGTATAATCAAAATGTAATTTGATTAGAATCTGCGACCAAGCGTGATTCCAGATTATGTTTGTTAATTAATTTGCCTGAATTTAATTTCAGAAAGCAGTAATCACACTGTCTTTTATCGCTCCAAATGATAATCCAATTCAAGTTTAATCCCAACATTATTATTTAAACAAACCTTTATATTATTACGTATCTGATTTTTAATTATGCCATGGATTACACCATTTAGTTAAGTTAGAAGCATTGGCGAATTGTTTTTATATCTGTTTTAGCTAGAGTGGTGATATGTAAGGGCACTATGATAATAACTTATAACCATAACTTATTTGTCGACAAAGAAGTTGTTGGATTGTTGACATTGTTTTGTTGGTTTATTTTTTGAGCAATTGGTCATTTTTGTTTATATTTTTTGGTATGCATACTGTAAGAATGCGTTAAAGCATGATGCCATTGTATTTTATCTAAGGTTCTTAGTTTTTCCAATATAAAGGAAGGATAACTCAGCTTATCTACAGAAGAAAATTCTTCATATAAAATTAATCGAGAACCTGTAAGATTTCATAATAAACACGATTGATCTACAGTTTGGGTGCTAGAGTTATCTTACTAAAATTATAAATGTGAAAGTTTGTGTGTTTGTTTGTTTGTTTTTTTTTTTTTTTTTTTTTTTTTTTTTTTTTTTTTTTTTTTTTTTGAAGTTCAATCACGCATTAACTACTGGACGGATTGGGCTGCAATTTGGCATGATGATAGCTCACATTCCCGATTAACATATAGGCATATTCTTATCTTAAAAATCCTTTCGGGCTCCGCCCCAGTGGCTGTGTAGTTGTCCATGTTAACCTTATGAGTATTCATATTTAAAGGGAATTAAATAATTTAGTCAGCTGTTTCAACTAAAAAAGTTGGTTCTACGGTTTGCAAAGCATTAAAAAGTTATAATATTTACCAACAGGGTGCAGCACTATATTTTTTTGCATTTATGAAAACAGCTAATTTGAACTAAGCAGAAAAAAACTGTGATACGCAATGAGAACTAACTGTCAAAGTAGGATTGTTTAGTTATATTTCTGTTTTTAATTTCATGAATAATTTGTGATTTTTTTGCGAATTTTTGATTTATTTTTATCAATTGTTTAGGTGAAGTGGTAGAACATTATGGCTATGGTAGATGTGTAATACTATATAATACTGTAAATTTAAAGAAGCAAATTTTATCAAACTGTGTCCCACCTCATTGCAAACGCAAGGCTTGAGTATAACTGCAATAAGCATTTTATATGTATATGCCAACCCAATACGAAGGACGGGTACTCTGCTAGTAAGTCATAATTACCAATGCACAATGATTTAAGGAACTAATTTCTAAATGTACAGTTATTTATTACTATCTGATCTTAATAATTAGCCTTGTCTTTACAACCCCTTCCATTTCTTCGAATTTTCCAAGAAAGTCGACGCCCATGTATTTTGTGTATTGATTATATATGTTAATGGCATTTACAAAAATATTTTGGTGGCTCAGCTTATTTATATATTTAGAAATCATTATTTAAAATACGTTTAAATTAAATTAAATATGTTGTATGTATTAATTTAAAGATAGTGCAAAGTACTATTGTAATTTAAACCTTACAAATTGATAGTGTATGTAAGATAATAATCTCAATGCTCTACTGTTCTAGCTGATTTGGCATACAATTCTCTTTGTTTTGACGTAGAATGAATTAAGAGGCCAAACGTGAACTGAACAGACAACTCAAGGTTCTCTATCTATGAAGTCGACAACTATACAGCGAGAACTTCTGTACACGGTTATATTATATAAATATTGGAATTTGCCAAACGTGAACTGAGCAGACAGCTCAATGTTCTCTATCTATTAAGTCGACAACTATACAGCGAGAGCTTCTATACACAGTTATATTACAGATATATAAATATTGGAATTTGCCAAACGTGAACTGAGCAGACAGCTCAATGTTCTCTATCTATTAAGTCGACAACTATACAGCAAGAACTTCTATACAATAAATATTGAAATTTGCTAAACCTGAACTGAACGGACAGCTCAAGGTTCTCTATCTATGAAGTGCTACATTATGCAATTACGCAATGTAGTTTATGAATCCGTTGTTTTAATACTATAGTGAAAACATAGCTATAAGAATTGCTCTGATGTAAAAGCAAGTTTCTTTAAAAACAATATTTATTTAGTGTTTGGGTTTAATTGACAATTTCAACGGGACAATGCTGATTGTAAGTTGTCATAAACTGATTAGAATGCGTTAAAATTACGATTGGCCTGCTTTCAATAAAGAATAGTAGTAACGGTAAGACAAGACCATATTTAAAGTTATTTAACAAAGTATGGACTTCCTACAATGACGAGCAAATGGACTTTCCTTTAAGTTGCACACTCTGATCTTCTTAAGTACTGGTTTTTGATTTATTATTATTTTTACCTTGGCCATATGAACAGTCATTTTTATATTTAAAATTCCCTATCTAAATCAGGATGGACCAAATTATCATTGCATCATTGCTATTTGTCCCAAACTGCCTATCACAAACGTATTGCAATTTGCAAATATATTTGTATATTTTTACTCTAAAGTCTTAGTTTTGACTCAGCAAACATGTTAATCGATTTCCCAATGCCTGCCTAGAGATAATGTTCATAAATTATATACTTATCAGCTACTCAGTTTTATCTGATGTAATAGTCGATCAGTTTCTAGAAATATATGATCAGTTCAAATATAAACGCGCAGCATATTGGTAGCGTGAGTAACAATAAACATTCCTTGACTTGTGTAAAACCTAGAGAGCTATGTCCGACCCTTTGTGGTTTCTGGAAAACTTGGAAGGAAACGAGCCTAAAAACAATGAAAAAGATTACATCAGGAATTACAACTCTCAAAATCCTGTAGGTAAGTAAACTGTTATGTGAAAGAACATTGAAAATATGAAACATAGAATGGAACTTACTTTATAAACATTCGTGTTTGTCAGATCTAAGTAATAATTCGTCTTCATTCCAATTATCAAGTAGTTTCATTACCAGTTATTAATTTAGCTTACATTTTTCGTTTAAAGAGGTTTCTTCAAAATATACTCTTACCTTTGACAAAATATTATGAACCGTTGTTATCGAGCAAAACCCCCCAAAAAGGTGTTACCGAAATGGAATATCTCAGTTCTTGATTCTTAGTGGTGTTTATTTTGTAGTTGATTGGTTATTAAATAATTTATAATATGAGAATATTCAAATCTTAATAAATGTTCTTGTGATTTAAGGACAAAATGATTGGACTCTAGAAATCATTGACCGTTCCTCTGAAGAAGAAAAAGAGAAGAACGGTTTTTCTAATACCCAGGATACCCTAAATATGGATGAAAACAAAGTCACAAAGGTATTACACCTCGACGTTTTGAAAGACGAAGAGAGCCTTAGATCAGCGCTCGAAAGCTCGCTATTGGAGTCTATAAAGGATGTAAAAAATCCTGAAATTCAAATCACTGTCAACTCTAAACCCGAAACTGAAACATCATCTGTTAAGCTGGACGAGAGTAACGTTTTGAATACCAAAAAGAATGACAAGTCCATCCGTATAACTCTAAACAAGAAAGAAAACGGCGATTTCGTTGGAGAAGAGAAGTCATTTTTAATTGGCAGCTCAAATGGCGAAAACGAAGTCAATGAAAGTGTTGGGGATGGACAGCAATCAAAAGTGTATGTGATCCTTCCCCCGGACCAAAACAGTCAACCGAAAGTTAACGCTGAAATGTCGTCGTCCGGTGATGCGAACGCTAACTCGACGTACTACGAGGAGGTTGGCACCGCAGTCATCAACCTGAACGATATTATCTCAAAGAAAAAAATATCTGACAATGGCAACATCACGGCTGAATTTGACTTATCATCTATCATCAGCTCTTCTGAGGGGATTCCAAAGATGGAACTAATCATTAAAGTCAAAGATGACCGTGACAAACCTGGTAAGCTAAATGATTATCTATAATACCCGTCATTTGAAGTTGTGGTACAGATTGATGTTACACTAAGGCTAAATTTAGTAATTTAGTAGTTATTAAATAAACTAACATGATGTGACAAAACTATTTATATGTTTTTGTTTTGCAACTACTTATTAGACTTACTTTGTTTAGTAGACAGTTACATCTATTGGTATAACATGACAGCGATGTCGCAGGTTAATCGTTCCATAACTGATTACTACTCATTATTAATCAATCAATTACTTTGCTGGTTCCGGTAAAACGTTGGATCGATAGATCGTACAGTTTTGTATTGATTTAGCTAAATTTCACTACTGGATCCATTAACAAATTCTAACCAAATATACTGTATACTGTTTTTTTTTTTTTTTTGGAATTTGGGGAAACGCCACTGCACTTGTTCTATAAGTAACTCCTGTTAATCTTCCCAACCAGAAGACGTTATTTTGTTCAGTAATCGTTTTCCAAGACTTCCTGTTATTTGTGCTTTAAATATTTCAGATTTTGGACTTCATCCAAGTATGTAGTAAGCCTAGCTTGTTTAAAGCCGTTATTGTTTATTATTATTATTAGTCAAACATTTGTTAAATTATGACTCTATTTCAGATGAGACGATCACCTCGGAAGATAATCCCTTGATGAACTACTCAGAAGGTGAAATCGCTCGCGTGAAGGAACTGCTGAAAGACTCTGCAACTTTGGAAAGCTTGGACTCCCAGCTTGAAACTGCAAAAGACGTACGAGAGGTTCCGATCACTGTGACTCCTTCCACTTCGTCAACATGGCAGACTACCACGAACTATGAGAGTTTTACCAATGCGGCAAAGTCCCAGAAGTCTTCAGACCCTAGTGTGGCCTGGGAGGATAAGTCAACTGACACCTATGTCCGCAGGGATGGCTCACAGTGCACTCGCACTGTATGGAGCTCACCTCGGGGACGTCGTGTGGAGACCAAGTGCTTCAGGGACGACAGGGACGCCCCAAGAGGTAGAAGAGTACGGGCCCTGGATTGGTCTCCTAGATTTGGATCTTTCTTGAGTGACTTTGATGATGATTTCAACCGCATCTTTTCCTACGCAAATCGCTTTTTTTAAACTAATCTCTTTGAAGAAAGATGTTAACAAGCATGTATTTGGTACATTAAAGGGGCTTAAATACAGAACTATAAAAGGGTTGATACCTTAAATGTCTTATTTACCATATATTTATAGTTTTCATAATGAAATCTATTGTCATTATACGATCATGTATTTGGGATGCTATTTGTTAATAAAAAACTCTAGTATTTGGAAATAAATTGTTTATATCCGTAATCCGTATGAATAGTTTTATTTATTTTTATATAATCTACACTAGACCATTAAGTGTGAATTACTCTATCATACACACTGAAACGTTCCACAGTTTTATCAAAATGAAACTTATACTCTTGGTGGATGATTGCGTTATATTAATATTTTCTGTTTGTGTTTGTTATTTAATACGCAGAGGATACGTGTCCGGTAACCGGACGTGGATTAGGCGTCTGGCAGCTAATGTCATAACCTAAAACCAACCAAACTTACTGATAATGAAAAAATCGAATGATGGTTAAATTCTGTTCATAAAATAAAATTATAAATGCCAAAAATTCTAACAAAAGATGTACAGTTAAGAAGAAATGGCATTCAAAGCTAAATCTATTACAAAAGGTAACAGTTACAAATGGGATTCAAACCAGGTACTTCTTCCATATCAGCCGAGACTCTGTCCACTACACTACGAACACCGATGGCTGTACAACGTATCGTTGTGGTAATGGCGTTCCGGGCCCTCACAACCTGGTGACGTCACTGCCGGACGCCTAATCTACGTCCGGTTACCGGACGCGTATCCTCCGTGTATTTCACAATGCAATGAACTCAACCCTAGTAGTGGCCAACAGTTTCAATCATAGAATAAGTTAAAGGATTTGAGATGTAAACTTAATGTAACGCATGAAATAGTTATTTGTGCAACTAGTGAGCAATTGCACTTTGCACTCGAGTTGCACATTAGTTTTTCCTAAAGTTACCATAAAACAAATAAATTGGTAAAGAAACGTAACATATTTTTACACAGAAGTGAACTTTAATTATGACAATTAATGTTAAAGTAGCATTACAGTACAACAGCTGACCAGCTGATTTACAACCAGTGCTGCCAACGTATTTCGCGCGCATACGACCTTGTCTACATGTTACGCGCTCACTATTTCGTGCCTTCACGTTGCAAATCTGGAGTGAGACGAAGTAATTAGAGTGAGACAATGTTAACATTGTCTCACTGATGAGCAAATTGGCCACTTTGCTTTCTCAAATCAGTGAGAGAACATGTACATTGTTAGGTAACTGTAGAAAAAAATAAAAACAATGTTTTTAATAAAATATAAATTTAAATCAAGGCAATTAAATAAATAAAATTACTAAAAACGCCACACTAAACAATAACAATATTTTTGAAGTTTCACGGCTTACGACGGCTGATTTCGTTGGACAAATAAACAACTAACTAAGTAAAAAAACTTGTCAAAAAACTAAACTTTATTAAGTTTAGTTAAATCGAAAAAATACGAAATTAATTGGAATATATTTGATTAAGAACTACACACAAAAATAAGTCCGTGGTACAAGAATCTGATTTTTAAACTTGCAATAAAAAATCCCTTACTAACAAATAATAGCATTAAACATTTTTAAGTTGAGTATGAGGATTTCACTTCGTTTCGTCCAATTACTAGCAGTTCCAAGTAAATGCTACATAGTACTAATATTCAAAAAGGAGTGTTTTAACCTCCTGCAAGTATTGCTAAGGTAAAATCCAAAATCAAGATGGAGGGGAAGTCAAAGAGATACGCGTTTTGTTGAAATTAAATTACAGTTAATAATATGCGACTAAGTGAGGAAGTCCCTTTATGTAAACCTACACAATAAATTTCGTACAACAAAGTGTCCGCACCACATCAACTAGACAGAAAATGGGCAAACCGTAAACAATCGGACTCATACAAACTAAGTTACCCAGTCAAATATAAAAGGTCGCTTTCCAAATGCGGCTTTTCAGTTGCACAGTCACAGAAACAAGGATATTAGATTACGAGATTTCGCAAAAGCAGAGATTACCTCGGCTTTGAAACAGCAATGAAATTACTTCCGGTGTCAAAGTGACGTCACGAGCAGAGTATTGAATTACCACGACGTGTTCATTGTTGCGATCTCACGATGCGTGATGTTACGTGACACGTCACGCCTAATATAGTCACAGTATCTCTACAGCTAACAGCTAGAGTCTAGGCGCTCTACAACTTTTGAAATATATTTCCCACTTTGGCTGAGGGTTTTTTCATACATCGTTACATTTAGTTTTTGTATTGTTGTTTTTTACTAGTGTACAATAATACTCAACAATTCAATTGAAGCCTGAACAGCTGATGGGTTGAATTTCGAATTACAGTATTACAATTTTACTTCTTCTCTCTCAATCCTTGAACCTCATTGGTCCATTACCCGTGTTGTTATGAGTAAAACTATGCTGTTATGAAAGTAAACAATGCCGTTATATAAAAATTTTCAATTCTAAGAACTGAACTGAAACGGCTACTGTAAAAAACGGTCGTAGGTAAAGAAGCTTACACAAATATTACTTACCATAGCTCGTCTCCCTGATGGAATAATATATATATACACACACACACACACACACACACATATATATATATATGCGGTGTATATATATCCAGTACATAAATGATATCTTTGTGAATGTACGTATGAATGAATGAATGAATAAAGTGCTTTATTTTAAAATAAACATTCCTCTCATAAACATAATCAAATACTTAATAAACAATGGTCTACGACCGTCTGTTTGGCTGGCACACGTGGAAAACAAATTTATGAAAATGAAATACACTTAATAACATACACAAATTTACATACAATTTTACATCCATTTTAAACCAAACTAAAAAAAATACCTTTTTCATAATATTGTTTACATAACTTTTATTACTTTATTTTTAAAATTATTAGAATTTAAAAGGTTGAAGCATAAGGAAATCTATAAAAAGTACTACGAATATTCAAGAAAACCGGCTGACAAGTTGTTTAACATAATTATTGTTTTGCTATAATGTCGATAACATACTATACTGTGATTAAAAACGTTGTTTAATTATTGAACTGTTTTTTTTCATTAATTATTAATTATTAATAGGCTACGGATTCTAATAAAAAAATAACATATATAAAGAAATGAGAAGTCTTCACATCAATCTTTATATGTACTAAATGAACTACAGAACGTGAAATGTGTTCTATATAAAGCGGCAAAATCAAATACAAACACCATAATATACGTTTTTTTAAGGCGCATAAAAAGAACAGGTTATTGAGATCCTGTGAAATCAATTTACCGTACTGTCTATATTAAGCACTATACGCGCACAAACTGTTACTAACCATATATCATTTTAAAGCTTAGATTAAAGCTTAGATTTTAATACATTTTGTCGTGCGACCTCATATAAAAAATCTACAAGGAAACATTGTATAAATTTAACACGTAAATATTTTTTTTATGTTTATGTCATTTTTTTAACGAAACTATCAATATTTAGGCTAACATGGTCAATACACTTTTTGAGAAAATCTTATTGCAAATCGGATAACTTGTCCGTTTCAAAGTTTTAGCTAATTTTTTAAGAGACTGTAAATTAATCTAAAAAGGGGGGCTGAGAGGAAAGCACAAGAGGGAGAAGTGGGGACTTTTGGGAAAATGCTTATATCAACATGGTCTAACAGCATAGAAAAATCCAGCTTTCCCAAAATTACTTCTGATATCACTGCCTTATTTAGATCTTCAATATAGGTCTACAGATACTTTTCCAATACAATTCAAAACCAATGAAAGTTTCTAACACAAGTGGTATGACGCACTGTGATGCTTCATACCTTATTACGTCTTTTTTATTCTTCGGTGATTAGGTGTCAACATTTAAATAAAGAAATAACATTGTCCGTGATCGAAAAGGCATAATAGTAGTACGTATGGTAAAAACTAAAAAGCTAGCAACGATTGTCCGTGAAATTCATTTGTGGATGATAGATCCGGTATTTAACTCAACGGCAGCGTGTACTTTTTTACACTATGAGGAATTCACGTAATAAATTCCAATGTGTTCTAAATTTTTTTTCCTTTTTTTGTTTTTATTTTCATTTATTTTTTAGAAAAATAAAAAGGCTTACACATAGGATTTAAGGAAGTGGGCTTCTAAATCTAAATAGTATAAATTTAACTATTTTTTGTCTCTTCGTTTAAACTGTCTCTTCAACTGTTTCACCCATGTGCCAATGGCTCAGGTATGGTGAAATACTGGTTCCAAACTAGAAGGTTTTTTTTTATTTCTCTTTAATGTAAGATACTATCGTGATGTGGGTTTAAAATGTGGTACATGTTGTGATAAAATTGTGATGTTGGGACGGAATCGAGGTAGTTACTATTGTGATGTTTGTCTTCAGTGATGCTTGTTGATGATGTGATGATCCCTGTGATGTCGTTGTTGAGTGTTTAGAACCAGCAGACTTCTAGACCCATGATGATTGGTTGGTTGGTTTGTTGTTGAGGTGCATCAATCAATGACTAAAATATTGCAAAGATGATTCAGCAGAGCCATGCATTTTCTATTGTGCGTTTTGTAAGTTCGTCTTCTGTATTCACGTCCCATAAGAAGTATTGGTGTTGTAGAAACGAAGAGTTGATGCTGGTATATGTGGCAGAAAAATAGGGAAATTCTGTCTTTAAGTGAGAGCCATGAGGTGTTATTACCAGCGGTTGGGGTGTACTCTATATACAGTGTCAAGAGGGACGTCCATCATCTTCTGTCGACACACGTGGGTCTTCTCTGTCTTGTAGCAATCCGTCAGCATCTGATTGATATCATGCATGAACCTCTGCTGGAGCTGGGCCTTGTGATGAGAGGCGATGGGCTGCCAGGGACGGCCCAGGATGGGGTCCAGATCGGCTTGTGTGCTGGCTGGGGCCTTGGGATGAGAGGCGATGGGCTGCCAGGGACGGCCCAGGATGGGGTCCAGGTCGGCTTGTGAGCTGGCTGGGGCCTTGTGATGAGAGGCGATGGGCTGCCAGGGACGGCCTAGGGCGGGGCCCAGATCGTCTTGTGTGCTGACGGAGGCTATCACTAGGAGCGTCAGCACGGTTGAGGCCCTCATGCTGAGTCTGCTGAGTCCACACTACTCGCTGTGCTGACGGACGGTCGTTATATACCACGTGTGTTGTGATATAT